CAGACAGGATCAAAGGCAGCAGTGGGTGACGGCTGGGTGTTTATCAGACAGTAGCGAGTGAATGCAACCTCAAAACATCGGTACTTCCCGTCACACTCAGAGCCACCCTTTTCCACTTTCCCAAGCGGTCAGGGGATTCTAAATAACCACGAGCACGAGGCTTATTTCCTTTCTCCATCCTTCTGTGACCTCCCCTAGGAAGGCAGCCAAAACCCCTGTGCTCGGCCTGCTCTCTGAGGCACAACCCGCCCCCGGGAATGAGCCTGTGGCTCCGGGCTCGGCGTTCATTCTGTCTTGTCCAGAAGGATCAGGCCTTATTCTTTTGATTGGTTCATTCTTTCCAAAGTGTGTTTCTTGGAGAAGTTCTTTTTTGTCAGGAAAAATAAAATAAAATTGGACATGCCCTTTATTGCTGACTAAGCCAAGAATGGAGACCTGCTTCTTATCACTCAGTATAAAGCAGACATTTTAATGAAGTGAACAGAGATTCCCTTTCAAAAGACTATTGAGAGGAATATAAGCTCCTGGAGGGCAGAACTTCCCCCTCATTCCACACCGAGTCCTCTCAGCCCCTCACCCAGAGCTGTGTCGCCCGTGGTGACGCTCAGGAAGCTGCCACCTTAATGTCTGTGGCTGCCTTCACTGCAGACTGGGAACGAATGGCACTTTTTTATTCCTTCCCCAGTCTCATGCTCAGCCTAGTGAACAAGACAAAGTCACTGCCCTCGTGGAACTTGCCTCCTAGGAAGAGAGACAGATAAAAGAAAACAAATAAGGATGATGACAAGGTGCCATGACTGTTAGGAAGGAAATAAACTAGGGGCTGACATAGAGGGTAAGGGAGAGGAGGCAGCCTTTCTCGGCTGGATGGCCAGAGAATCGGACGTCTGAAGGGTAAGCAGGGGCCGGGGATGAGCCGTCAAGGCGGAAGGATCATTTCCCTTGAGGCCGGAAAAAGCGTGGCCTCTTTGAGGGTCTAAAATAAACGGTAGCGAGAGGGTCTGAACAAAGAGGGGAGAGCAGGAGGCAACGGCGTGAGAGGGCCACTGGGGCCCCAGGCGTGGGCCTCTGCAGCCCTGGCGAGTTGTTGGGTTCCATTCTAAGCGAAGTAGGAAATGAGGGCGAAGGGGTCTAATCCATGGCTGTGTTTTTAATTATGTGTGTTGCCATGAGGTAATAGTGGCCTGAATTGAGAGGTTGGAGGCGGAGAGGGACTAACATGGTTGGATTTGAGTTACACTCGTATTTCAGAGATTAGATTGAAGGCGGACTTGAGAGGGGGTCGTGAGGGAAAGGGAGACGTGGGGAGGACTTGAGCACCCCAAGGCGGGAGGCTGGGAAGGAAGGGAAGGGGCGGGGGTGGGGGGTGAGGGAAGGGGCGGCCCCCAGAGCTCTGAGGTAGACGTGTGAGGTGGCAGGATTGCTCGCAGTCACCAGGGACTGAGCTATCCAGGGGGTCTGATCTGAGAACTCTGGTCTAGAGAGACAGATGTGGGAGTCACAGTACAGAGGGGGCAGATGACATGCTAAATGGTGACCATTCAAGCTGCTTATGTGCCAGGTTGAGAATTTGCTCCTTTGGGGCACTGGCTGTAGCAAAACGCTAGAAGCACAGTTACTTCACTGCGAGCTGTCCCCTTGAAATTTGTTTATGCCTCCCACAGCCAGGAAGGTGAAATGCTATGCTTGGCGCCAAAGAACCATTCTCTGGGCCTGTTTTCAGAAAAATCCATATCTGGGTGGTATGGCCAAGTCATTAGCAGTGACTGACTGGCTGTGTTCTAATAGGTCAGGTGTAACTTAAGCCCCAAAGGCCTTTGGGCAAATCTATTCTGAAGGTGGCTGAGATAAAGCAAGGAAGCTCGTGGTCCCATATTAGCATCAAGGGCAAAAAAAGCTGCATCGAAATCGGAAACCTGGAGGAAGCTTTCTACCAGGGACAGGCCAGTTACTTTGTGAGGATTTTGCTACCAGGAACACAGGAAGGAAGATGCAGAACTGTGCTTCCCAAACAGGAGGATTCATAAGACGCACCTGAATGGCCTCTTTAGCATGCGGAGCCTGGCGTCTCACACCCGCGGAGCCCGATCAAGAAGCTCGGGGTGGGGCTCAGGACCCTGTGTTTTTACCAAGCGATCCTGGTGCAGGTGATCCATGGATCACACTTTGAGAGACGCTGAGTCCACAAAGGCCTTTGAGGTTGCCTCGGCAGCCCTTTCTTAAACGCGGAGGACTGTGTATGGAGGAGGGGGCTTGCTGTTAAGTCACAGAATAAGTTGGAAAGCCGGTGCCACTCTGCTAACTCACAGTTCTTCATTTTGCAGTTGACTTTCATACTAACGATGGATAAAAAGCAAGTCTCCCCTCTCAGTCCCCAACTCCTTCCTTCACTGTATTGTTTCTTTTTTTTTTCCTGAAGCATATATCACCTTCTCATGTAAAGGAATTTACTGTGCTGTCATTTATCTGTCTTGTCTCACTAAAGTGTTAGCTTCATGAGGGCACTGATTTTTGGTTTTGGTTTTGGTTTTTCACTGGAAAGACCCGCTCTACCCTTTGACAGTGGGGCGTGAGTGTGAGAGGCTGCAGTGGCCCCCCAGGGATGGTTCGGTGGCTGGTCGCCACAGGGATGCCCTTCTGTGCGTCCTCTGTGCCTTGGACAGTGCCTGGCCCATACTCGTGCTCAGTGAATATTTGATAAACGGATGGATGAAAAATATTTTGTTGAACTGTAAATTATGGGCCGTGTGGGGAAAGTGGCAACCTTTAGTGTAGAATATTTTCGCCCCAAATAATGTAGAATTTTTTCTTTCTCATTCGTCTGATTCTGGCTTAGGTCAGAGGTTACAGGCACAGCTTGTTTATGAGCGATGAATAGAGACTTTTTAATGTAAAATATTCACAGTACTATTAATAGTAGCACCAGCAGCAGCTATTCCTAACGGCAGCGATAACCGCTGCCCTTAGCGTGTGTGGGGTCCTTACTAATGTCTGCCACGTAGGTGCTGTATGAAGTTTGGAGGTAAGAGCGTCACGCCCTCACCTCAGCCAGGCCTCACCGCAACCCCAGGCGGGAGGAGCTGCTATTGTCTGTTTTCCAGAGGAGGAAACCGAGGCTCGAGGAGGCGGGCCAAAGTGACACAGCCACTGGAGGGTTAGGGTCGGTGACACAACGGGTGAAGCCCTGAACTCCCAGCACATTCAGCGTTAGGTCTGGGGTGCTCTCTGGACAAGGAACCGAGAGAGCCGAAGACTAGGCAAGCCTCGCGGTTCGGGGTGTCCTGGGCCAAGAACACCAGCCTCCTAGATGATATAAAACTACAGGCTGGAAAGTTAAGGGGCGTTTTTTTCAGCCCGACTTCCCAGCATTTCCCCACGCTCTCAAGTCTTTCCATTCTCACATTACAAAGAGCCTTTGGTCTTGAACGGGTAGGCTTTCTCACTTCTCAGCCAGCCTCCCCGTAGTGAGCCAAGGAAAATTTCTGTGGCGACAGGCCCCTAAGCCATTGCTGGGGAGGTGCTGTCGCTCTCCACACTCACTTACACCCCCCCCTCCAAAGGAGGGGCACAGAAAGGGGCTCCTTCACCCGCCTTCCTGTTCCACTTCCCTGCCGGGGCCTTGGGAAGGGGCGAGGAAGGTGATGATTCTATAAATCTCTTCTAAGGCTGAGTGAGCCTTTTGCGTTCCTGAACCGGTACCTATTAAAGGGCTGTGAGCTCACGGGATGGGCCCCCACCTGCTGTGGATAATGTCGCATTCATCCCCACCCCCCCCAGCCAGGCCTGGCCTCGCCTGGCGTAGGGGACGACTCCACAGATGCGACCCCCGAGCCCCTTGCCCGGCAGCCGCAGACACAGGTTGAATGCGATGCGGCCTGGGCTGGGGCGAAGGGAGAGGGACGTCACACGCAGTGCCATCTCGCGGTGCCGGCAGCGCTACAGCCCTGCTCTCACTCAGCTCTGGTGATAAACAGGAGCGGGCACCGCGGCCCCACTTCCCTAGGTGGGGAAGGCCCGGGAGCCGCCGCCTTGCCTGAGGGTCGCAGCACCCGCGGGAGGCCGGGCCCTGTTTTCAGCTCGGGCTGAGGCCGTTGTTAAGCCGGTGCTTGGCGAGCTGCTCCTTCTGCGGTGCCGGTTCAGAGCGTGGACTCGGGGTTTGGGTCTTGACTCTGCCGCTGACCAGCTGTGAGACCCTGGCAGGTTACTCAGCCACTCCCTCCGAGGGCTTGTTCATCCGTAACGTGAGGCAATTACATACTCACATCGTAGGGCTGTGGCGAGGAATGAATCAGTGTATGTAAAGCACTTCGTGACTGGCATGTAGAAACCGCCGTACGTGTACGTGCTAGCCATTGCTATTAATTTATGTTTCCTACTTTCTTCTGTGGGTGACAGAACTCAGAAGTTTAGCATTTCTCCCGCTCCCCCAAAACTCCCAGTTGTGTCTGTATTCCTATAACACTTAGGAAGATAATCCATAGAAACTGTTTAGAGTGGGGCCTGGCATGTGATTATCCCCGGCAAACGTGTGGTGATTGTATGGCAGCGCCAAGATGCAGGGGTGTGCGAAGGGGGTGGGAGAGCGTCCGGCCCTTATGCAGCATCCAGCCTCCTTGGCGTGGTCGCCGTCCCAGTGCCCGCCTCCTGGGCGGACCAACACTAGGAGAGAGCCATTGCTTTGCGTATATCCAGTCACTGTTACTTTAATGCCTAACAATGAATCTGAAAGGGCGGGGAGGTGAGAGTATGAGTCATGAAGTTCCTGGTCAAGGCATGTCCCATCCAAGAGAAGCCCTCTTACGGAGGCCAGTTGCCCAGAAAAGCTTGGTGGTGTGCTGTCATTGGAATGAACGGTCGCTTTCCGACACTGCCACCCCCGACGTGCTGTGACCGCGTGTCTTCCTTCTCTCCCTCCCCTGGGTGCCTGTAAAGGTTGGCTTTTTGCCTTTTGGCCACTGATCGGGGCTGTGTCGTGACTGCACTTTCCGCTTCTCTCCTAGCTTAAGAGTTGGACGGTGGAGGACCTTCGGAAGAGGCTCTTGGCCCTCGACCCCATGATGGAGCAGGAGATTGAAGAGATCCGGCAGAAGTACCAGTCGAAGCGGCAGCCCATCCTGGATGCCATTGAGGCCAAGAAGCGGCGGCAACAGAACTTCTGAGCAAGGCCAGGCCAGGAGGGCCCCGATCCCGCACGGCCTTCGGGGAGCCCGGGATTGTCACCACTCGAACTTGCTAGCCACCACTCCTGCGCCCTCGTTTCTCCACGGCACCTTTGTGAACTCAGGAATGTGCGCCAGAGGGAAGGGCCGCCTCGCCACCTTGGTGTGTGGGTCTAAATCGGTCAGGCGTGTTATTTCAAAGGACTTCTATCGGCGCTTTCAAACTCAGAGTTTTCAACCCCAGGAACAGAGACTCCTAGTTGAGTGATAGCTGGGAAGGTTTTACATTGTCTGCTGTTTTTCTTCTCTCAATAGCTTTCAATTGTTCTTTCTGAAAGACTTTTTTAAAAACTATAAATATGCCTATATATAAATTATCGCTAGATTCCCCACTCAGTGTGGTGGCATCTCTGTACAGGTACAGTTTTAAACAGTTTGCCTCTTTTCTGTAAGATTACGGTACTGTGGAACACGAGGGCAGGGACACCGGGGCCGTCAGGGACCCTTGCCTCCCAGGAGCCAACCTCACCCTTTGGCAGAGCTGCACTTAAAAATTAGGTTCGGGCCAGGTTTCGCCACGGTCTCCGCCTCATGCGGACCATCCCCGGCTCCTGGAGCTGTAGGTGACATCCAAGGGAAAGCTCGGGGGTCGCGCTGACCTTTTGAGTCCCAGGAGAAGCCTGGCACTCTCGTTGCAAATTGGCCTCTGCGGCTTCAGCGCTTTTCATCCACCTCCATCCTCCCAACTGCCCAAAGTTGCAGCACAGACACTGCCCAGTGCCTTAGGGGAGACACGACCCAGTGAGGGGACAGGCCGACCAGGAACTCTCAGCAAACGGGGCTGTGTTCCGCCCACAACCGGGGAAGGTTTTCCAAGTTCTCATTGTTCATGTGAAGATCACACGTGTGGCATTTTGCTCCACACGCCTTACAGGGGTAGAAGGCATTGATTTTGTGATCTGCATTCAAATACATGACTGTTTTAAAAATTTTTTTTACTGCTAAGGGGTCTGGAAAGGATAGTGAACATCAGGCTAAGATTTGTACTCCAGGAGCCTCACCCCAGACCCGTGGAATGCCAGAGCTGGAAGGGGCCCTCGACGTCATCTGGTCTGACTGAGGCTGGGGGAGGGCAAGTGACATGGCCCAAGTCACACAGCAAGTTTAAGTAGGAGCGGGACCTACACCTCGGGCCCCTCACCTGGTGCACTGACCAAGCAGCCCCTTCTCCGAGGGAAGAAGCTGACGTCAGTTTGGGTTCAGTTGCACCAGGGAAGCCTGCTAATGGGAACTGGCTCTTGCTTTGTCACTTCAGTGGGCGAGGCTACGAAGAGATTCCCAGCAGAGCCAGATCATCCCAAGTCAGGATTCCGTGGCCTCTGCACCATCTGCCAGTAGCAGACAGGCCTCATGCAGGCAGACATAGGGCCAAACGCAAAGCAGAGGGCCCGCAAAAGACAGCACTGAGCCCCTCTGCAGGGTTAGCTCAGGCTACCTGTCATTTAGTCACACAACAAAGAGGGGACAAATGTGAATGCATTTGGGAATGCCGTTGGGAAAAGCAAATGCATTTTTATTTTCAAACACCTCTTCCTTTCAGATCAGGGGCTATGACCGTGTTGCACCTAAGGATACTGCAATTTGACTCCATAATTGTATTTGCTTCCCAAACCTGGGAATCAATGGAAGGCAGGGGATGTTCCTCTTCTGTGGCCATATCCTATTCTCTGCAATTAAAGCAAGTCTTAAAAAATGCAGGAGGCCATTGCTGGTCTGCAGGGCTTGGCCAGCTGAGCAGCTGTGTGGCCGATGCAGAGAACAGAGGACAGTTGGAGGTTCCCACTGGACTAGTGAATGACAGCTGGCACTTGTGGACCACTTACGGTTTGCCGGGCACGGAGCTCAGCAGGCTTTTGCTCTCAGCTCCAAACTTCATGGGGGACTCTGCAAGTTCAGTACTTTGCCTCCACTTATTAGATGGAGAAAGTTTCAGAGAGGGAAAGTGTTCTTTCCCAAGCAGCACAGCCAGTAAGCGGGAGACTCAGGGTTTGTAGTGTTGCTGTGTGGGACCAGTACTTACAGGGGAAAGTCTTTTTAAAATGAAGTGACCACCTTTTCCCGCACAGACTCTTAACGGGCATTTTTAAGTTGGGAAGCAGCTGAATTAGTCAAATCTGAAAGCCAAGTGAGTTTTAAAAACCAAATCGTGGAGCAGGCTCTCCCTCATACCATCTGCTGTGCTAATTATAACAGTCCTGCCTCGGTCTCTTTCTTTTTTAAAAAGGACTTCACACTTGGCCAGACAAGGCATTTTCTCCTATCCTAAGCTAGATTAAGTAAAAGAACGTTCAGTTTTTCCCCCATAAATATTCTTGAACCTTGATCTGGAGTTTATTTTGTTTCAAGTATGTGTGCACCCAACATACTGGTCCAGCAAAGTACATTGCTCTCCAGTCTAGCGAGACAGGGTCCTTTGCCAGAAATCAATTTCTTTTGGATCAGATAAACTTCCTGACAAGGTGTGTTTGTTTTCTAGTGACAGGGAGGCAGAGGAGCAAACCCTCATGTTTTTCCTTGAATATGAAATTCAAGGTAGACCAGTTGGCCTTCATCGAGCCCTGAGCAATGGCCAACTGCTTGAGCACTTGTGACCTGAGCTTCCAGGGAACTCACTGCCCATTACTTGTTCTCTCCTTCTAAGGAACAATGACCCACACCCAATGGTGTCTTTAAAAAAATCTCGATTCTCTAAAAATATCTTAATGGCTTCCTCAACCATAATTTTAAAACAGATTTTTATTTTTCTGTTGTCCCTTTTCCCAGCCATTGGCTTGGTGGATGAATGTTTGACTGGCTAGATAGATAGATAGGCAGACCGACCCAATGCTCTGAAGCAACCTAAGAAATACAGCCGTCACTTCTTGAGACTATACATTCTGATCCAGGTAACATTTATTTAGCACCTAGCATTTAAAACTCAATAGCTCTTACCAACATCAGGAATGAGAGAGGTCCTTATAGATCCTACAGATATTAAAAGCCTAATATCATGAACAACTTAATGCTGATAAATTCAACAATTTCGATGAAATGGACAAATTAATTGGAAGATACAAAGTACTAAACTCAAGAAGGAACAGATAATCTGAATAGTCCTGCATCTATTAAAACATAATAGCTCTGGGAGATACAGGTAGTGTCCTCTCTTATAGAAAAGGAAACAGGCTCAGGGAGTTCAGGTCTGTTGCTCAAGGAAACGCAGCAAGAATATGGCAGAGCCAGGCTTCAAATTCAGTTCTGACTTGTACCCCAGTGCCCTTTCTAGTGCACCATGTTGCCTCTAAGGATCGCAGCTCCTTATTTACTGGAAAATTGTTCCTGCCCGACCCACACCCTTCGACCCCGGCCTTTCTTAGGCACCACGTTTGTGTTTTCATCAGGATTATTGTAGTCATCATCTTTGGAATCCATGTTTTTATTTGTGTTTGGGAAAAAAAAACTCTTCCACCAGCTTGCACTCACACCAACTTGGGAAAAAAAATACTGTTGCAAATGTACAACTTAAAAATGTGAATTTTGTAGCTTTAACTTTTTGTAACAAAAACTAATTAACACTGGCTTAAGTGCTGACTTGAAATGCTGTTTTATAAGATTTGGATGTAAATAATCACTGAAGTCAGCAGTTTGTATATGTATGAAACAGCTTCCTTCATTGCCTTTTTTTTTTTTTTTAATTTGAGATGCTTCCTAAGTGCTTTTATGTTGGAATTTTTTCTCTCCTTCTTCCTATACCTTGTCACCTCTGTTTTGAATAAACTGTCCTTCAGACCACAGACTCTTCTTTTTAAAAATGGGGTCCTCCATCTACAGCCTAAGTAATGGTATTGTGAACCTTCATGACAATGAATTTGTGTTGCGTTTCTTCTAAAATCCAAAGCCAAGGGAGAGGTAGTAGAATAGGGAGGAAACTTTCGTTGGGCACTTACTGTGTGCCAGGTACTGAGCTAGTTGTCACGGATATAAAGATAGACCAGACACAGTTCTTGCAGACCAGCTGGGGAGTCAGTCAAACACACAAGGACAGCATCGGAGATACCGACCACAACAGAAGAGGTCCACAGCCTGTGGACCCATGAGGAGGAGTGACAGTCAGTTCTGCTGGGGTGGCTGAGGAGCTTTTCTGGAGCAGGTAATAGGTCTTGAACTTACCAAATGAGGAAGGGGGCTGGGGGAGAGAGGGTGGGAAGTGATGGAGCGAAGACAACCTGGGCAGAGAGACCACCTCCACGAATAAGGTATGAGAAAAATGTTTATAAACACCTGATGTTCAACCAACCCCTACTTAACATCTAACCACAAAGTAAACCCTCATGTAACATTGTCAATGGGTTCTATGACTTTTAAGAGAAAGGATAGATAACTAAGCCAATTTACCGTAGGCCAACTGATGTCAACTACAGTTCAGTTCCTGTGGCATCTCATCAATGTTACAGCGAAGCCACGCTGAATGAAACAATGTTATCTGAGGACTAGGGATCTATACCTCCGCTGCGTGTGTCCGGGTGAGGCTGTGACAGTTCCTCTGTCTTTTCCCCCCACCATGTGATGGGCATGTGACCCAGACCGGTTCAGTCAGACTCAGTCTTCGGGGACTTTCTCGTTTGATACATAAGATGGAGGCAGTTGTCACTGAGGTGTATTAATGGCAGTGCCCTGAAGCGGTGATTCATGGGCTCTAACTACCTCGGTCCCTGTGTCTCCCTCATTCCTGTCTTCCCCAGAGTCTGGTTTTTTCCTTTTACTTTGACTCTAGCCAGTAGTTATCCAATGCAGTTATTTTGTGCTTAAGTTTTCCAGAGTTGGATTCTAAAAACTAAAGACTCCTGATAAATTGGAACAGGCAATATGTCCTCCAGAAAATGTGAGTATTAAAAACGATTGAGTTTCATGAGGCAAGATACGAGATGGCTGCTTGTGTCCTGGCCTGGGCCACCAGCAGACCGTGGGACCCAGCAGTCAGGGACTTGAGCGCATCTGACCTTCAAGGAGGTCGCTCTCCAAGAAGGTGTAGCTTCTGTCGCAGTCCAATTTTAAGGAGCTGAGGCATGCCCAGGCTGTGGGATAGAATGTTTTATTTCTCACTGCACAGAACAATGTCAAAGGAAAGTCAACAAAGCAAGGCCTAGAACGATTCGGGCACAGAATGCAATGCAGAGCACCTTCCACGACGGAGGTGAAAGAACCTCATGACTCGACAGTACGCTGATACCCCCAAACCAAAGCTGGCAATTGTTGACACGGGTTGCCAAATTCACAGCCCCACTGCGCTTGAATGAAGTTGGGCGTTGACAGCAAGAGTGGGACGATGACAGGCGGACCGGCTGCGGGAGAGGACGTGGGAGAAATCCAAGGCGATCTAAAACGGAGGGGGAGCAGCCCCGCCCTTCCTTACTGGTGAGAGCGCCGAGCGCCTGCCTGCCTGGTCCGCCCCTCAGGGCTTCCTAGCTGGAAGGCGGGGTCCGTTTTGGCCTACAGGATGAAACATAGACTGAGTGAGTAGGAAAGAATCTTGGAGCCATAAAGAAGAGCAGAAACTTGTTAATTGATAGACTCAGAAATTTGGGGAATATTCATGGGAGTGGATTTTCATGGTGCTTGAGGAAGGAAGAGGGGACATGTAATGTTGGACCAGGCTGATCTTGATACGCATGCAGGTACCAGGGGCTCTGCATTCTCCGCGCTCATGCCGAGAACTGGCTGGGCCCTGTCAGCTGACCGGTTGGCTGGTGCAAACTTGGACCAAAGGCTGGCCCACATGAAATGGAATGTAAAGGCCTCAAGTCCCTTGGCATCCCAGAGGGAAGGATCCAAAGATTTCTGAAGACAGGGACGCTGGACTGGATCTGTTTTGTGCCTCCTCCCCTCAAATACCTCTAACTGTGGCACTCAGTGGACTGAGAACACCTGACCCTTGCTTTGAGGGAAGACTGGGTCAAGGGTGCAGAGTGGAGGGGGTCCCTGACATCCGAGGAGAGGAAGAAGGCAGAGGCGTGGGAGGCCAGGTGTTGCCTCTAACCCTCAGAAATTAAGGGTGAATGGCCACTGTAGTGTTTGGCAGGCTCTGTACGAGGCGAGACCTCAGGCTACAGGACCCTAAAATGTTTAATTGGAAGTAACCACTCAAGTCTTACTTGATTTGTATAACCAACAAAACATAAGAAACCAAAACAAAAACCAAAAATGTTGTCTAAAGCAAACAAAAAGGCCTGACTTAAGCCACCATGACAGGTGCAGAGCATCACCCTACACCTGGCCTTGAGTTTGGTTATTGATCTGAAGCCCATTGGATGGAACATATGCTGCTCGCCCTTGAGGAAGGACCGCCATACTGCTGCTACATGCAGGACGTATGACTATTTCCCACCTTCTCCAGAAGGACCTGTGGCCATTGACCAGGTAACTGGGTGCTAAAGTAAATACTCTGATCTCTCCAGGAACCTTGGATGTACACTTGGGGCTAATACCAATTTTCTGGGTCTCAGAGGACTTCTCTAGGTCCACCGATCACATGAAAAATAGTGCTTTGACTTTGTCCCATGTCCCTGGAGGTCTTGTGGGATCCCAGAGCTGTCCTCTATCTCTAGTTTCTGAGCAGTAGTTCGAAAAGATCCCCACTTGGCTCCCTGCCCCATGGGGGCCATTATAATATAAAAAGCCAATAGAATGCAATTGAGCTACTGTTCCAGAATAGCAAACGCAACAGCGGTTCCTTGTCTCTGGGGAGGTGGCAGAGATCAGTGCCTCCCTCAGAGACCCTCCAGAGTGACGGCTCCTGTCAAAACACCATTAGCTTCCCTGTTTGGCTGGTGCGAGACTGGATGGGTCTTGACCAGAGGTTATTTTAATCAAGGGGTAAGTCCAATTTTGGCTGCTGTATTAGATGTGTGCTTCCTATTACAGCCCCTGGAACTAAGAGGCACCTACTGGTTTCGTTCTCTGTTCCAAGAAACAAACCACGAAGCATTTCGCTGGAAAGGATAAGAGTATTTCTTACTGCCCACTCAGGGATCCCTTGGTTCTCTTCCAACTCTGTACCAGAAAAACTTTGATTCCCTGATTCCACTACAGGCATCAGACTGATCCGCCCCATTGATCAAGTCACATGATCATTTCCTTATGTTAGCAACATTTATAAAACTGCGTGTGTGTAGCAAGAAGGTGTGCTGGGCAGCCAACAGTTGGAATGTAGTGGAAACCTACTACCTTTGCCTGTTAACATCTCTCCCCTTTATTTTGGGGACACCCCATGGCCTTTTCCTTTGGGTAATGACCTTCCTTCCATCCCACAAGATCTGCTGTGGATGTTAATCCAAAGACCCTGCCCTGCCCCCCAGTCCCCACCAAGGGAAAGGATATGACACAAACCAGGCAAACCAACCTCTCCCCTGGGACCAGGACTGTGAGCAGAATGACCCAGGAAGGAAGGTGACAAGAAGGATCATTTGACTGGCAGGGTCCTCCACCAAGGGTTCATGGGACCTGCCCTGTGGTCCCTAGAGTTCTTCTCATCCCCGTATTGCCTGAGGCCTGGACAGGCAGCTTTGCCTTTGATTGGGTGACCCTCGACACTCTTCTGTAGTGGACTGAGTGGCGGTCCCCAGGATATGCCCACATCCTAATCTCTGGAACCCATGTGTGTTACCTTATTTGGGAGAAGGGTCTTTGGCAGATACGGTTAAGGATCTCGAGATGAGATCATCTTGGCTTACCTGAGCAGGGCTTAAATGCCATCACAGGTGTCCGTGTGAGAGGTGGACATTGGGAAGGCGTGACACACAGAGGATAAGGCGCTGTGATGACATTGGCCGCGTCTGGCGTGATGCAGCCACAAGCCAAGCCACGCCGGCAGCGACCAGAAGCTGGAAGAGGCAAGGGGAGAATTCTCCCCTGGAGCCCCCGGAGACAGTGTGGCCTGCTGACTCCTTGATTTTGGATTTCCTGCCTCCCGGATGGTGAGAGAATAATCTGTTGTTTTCAGCTATCAAATTGATTGGTAATATGTTACGGCAGCCACAGGAAACTAATACGCCTTCCAATAAATCCAATTTTTTTTTTTTTAAGGTTTCTGTGGCTTGTAGCCAAGGAATCCTAGTGGTAACCATTGTTCGTCACCTCGGTCATTGAGGCTAATGAATTACCCTTTCTGACCAAGTTAGTTCCAGCCAGATTCCTGTCACTTGCAACCTGTGCCAAATCTAAGATTGCCAAGAATGGGCATTCGTGGGCATTCTGAGTCACTCCACATATCACTCCACCCTCCCCAGTCACCCAGAAAACATGCCGGGCAGCCAGCTCCATACAGACAGAAACAGGTCCCTGCACCCAGCCTCTTTATTTGCGTAATAGTTTTTATTGATACATGGGAATGGGAATGAGTTGCTTTTCTGCCAGGAGGACCACACACAGCCTCGTGATAGACTTAGGCCAAGCGATTCTCTCCTGAGCTTGTCCCACACCAGCTTTAGGGACTTGTCTGTGGGGTCAAAGTCTGGAAGCTCGCCGGCTCTGTGGTGTGTTCAGCAAGACCATCAGCGTGGCACATGCAGCCCTCCAGGTGACGGCGCCCTGACCCGGGCAGAGCTGGGCTTAGACGTTACAAGGTGAGCGTGCGGGAGGGCCAGCGTGTGTGTGTGGTCAATTCCCCAGCGGCTCCTTGGCTCAGCTCCAGTCTCTGCTCCAGTCTGGAGACTACAGTCCTTCTACGTCTGGAGGCCTGTGTACCCGTGGAGGCCC